ATCATCATCATCATCATCTGAATAATCCACTAAAGCAACATTACTGCTACAGTGTGGCCTACTCATTCTATTAGCGTCATCACTGGAATGAGATGAAGAAGACCTGAGGACATCAGATGATATTCTTTCTGGTTGTTCTGCTGTATCTTCATTTTCTTTCTCCCCTTCAGTTTGCAGAAACAGATCACGATGACTTAGAATGTCACTTTCTGATGATTCAGTAACTACTTCTGTTATATTTTCCTTAATACATATTTCTTCTTTGACTTTCATTTCTGTGTCTTTAATAAATCTGCAATCCACTTTCTGGCATTTCATAAGATATAAATTCCTTGCTTTAATTTGTGCTTCCTTTTCTTCTTCACACATAATCTTCAAACGTTTAAATGTCTGAACATACTCAGTTGTTTCAAAAGCCGCATGAAAATTTTCAACAACGTGTACAATAAGAGTCTTGATGTTTTCCATTCTTATGAATTCAAATAGCTCAATAATAGCTGAATTTAACATATTGTACCGACTTCCATTAAGGACAAAAGCCCTTACAACAGGTTTAAAAAGATTGTTTTTGATTATGTAACGATAATAACATTCATTTTTAAGGCCAATTATTTTCCTCATAAACCGTAGAGCACCCAAGACCAGAAAAGTGTGCTTTGAGGTCATCAGCACCAAAACACTTTTGAGCAAATTTTTGGTCAAAATAAATTTCCTAATATAGAATGTGTGATGCTGTACACAAAATGTGAGTAGTTCTAAAATTAAACCGAGCAGCTCCGCAGATTGATAATTATCAGGGAAAATTTCCCCCCTGTCATTCTTCAATATCAAATTGTCTTCACCATTATCTTGTGCTTCAATAGACAAAAGTGGAGCTGCCAACTTATGCATGCTACGTACATAGAAGAAATTTAGAAAATCATTTCCTTGCCTTTCATTAGGTGCTGTAAGCATGTTTGCTGGGTCAAATAGAGAATGAAGAACTTGTTCCAAATTGATGGCACGTGAAAACTCATCATCAGTATCACAAATCATTTGTTCAATTATTATATTAATGAGAAGACTGTCATCATCTTCACATTCCTGAACGTCTTCCACTGTGTATGCTTGGACCAGGTATGGGCTATATTCTACTAGATAGCTAAATATATCTATAGCAGCTACCCTTATTTGACAGTCATGCATGCGTAGTACAGCTTTAAGAAGTGGCATGATCCCAAGATTTATCAATATTTTCAACAAGGCGTCCTTCTTCTCAGACTCTAATGTGTGGGAAAATGCACAGAATTCCTTGAAAAACAAGAACAAATCACGCCGTCTATCGACATCTATAGTGTCATCTTGTAACTGTGCTAAAACATCAGACAAAAACCTTTCATCTTCTTGCAGCATGGTAACTATCTCCATTTTGTTGAAAAAAATAAAGCTTTTTAGATCAGAAAGAAGATTTTCTTCAAATATGCATGGTGTAGGCAACAGAATGTCATTAATATACTGTATTCTGTAGGTCTGGTGTATTTTCTGCCTAAGTTCAAAGTGTGTTATTGGGATAACTTCCTTGAACTTGACAGTTTGAGTCAAGAATTCTCTGTGCCGTATTGGCTGAGCCAAATCAGGATTGTATTCAAGGCACCCTACCACATCCATGATACACTCGTCTGAAAACATGATGTTAAACAGAGAAATCTTATTGAGGAACAAGATTCCCCTAACAATGGTATACAGATAGTGTAAGCCTTCAGTGTCCTGCTGGTTCTCACAAGTGTGGAACAGCTTCAGTAATTTTTTAATATAATCCTCATTTTCCAACATCAGAGCCAGCTTTCTCACATACTTTGGAGTGTCAAAAACAGAAATCAGCAAATTTGCAATTTTTTCAAGTGCATTGCGTTCACACTTTGGCATCTCAACCATGTCCCGGATTTCTGGAATATTCTCAAATGTTTCTATATCATGTGAAAGATTTTGTGTGCTTTCCACACTTGGATCTTTACCTTGAACTTGGCAGATGTCTTGCCAGATCTGTTGACAACTAGCT